CGTCCAGGAATTAGTGTAGAACATGTAAACATTTCAAGACAATAAATCCATCGCAGGCCTGTGTTATTTCTCTATTATCTAAACCTTTGCTTAATATATCTTTCTATCAAGAATTCAGGAAATTCATGCAGTTTAAGTATCACAAGGCCCATGTAGTAAAGCATATTGTAGCGTGGCGTATGAAATACATAAAATATCACAAGGCCCGTTGTCTTATGACGTATGAAGCACAGTTTAAATCTCACAAACCCCATGTAGTAAACCATGTTGTAATGTTACGTATGAAATACAGTTTAAATCTCAAAAGGCCCATGTAGTAAACCATGTTGTAATGTAACGTATGAAATACAGTTTAAAATCTCACAAGGCCCATGTAGTAAATCATGTTGTAATGTTATGTAAGAAATACAGTTAAAATCTCAGAAGGCCCGTGTAGTAAACCGTTTTGTAGTATGGCGTATGAAATATAGTGTTACGACAGCAGAAGTCACATGACGCTGGAAGCATGCGCGCTGAAGTTTCTAGAAGGATCATGACTGTTCCTGGGAACTCTAGTCTTTCCCAGGCGCCTTCTATTTTAGTATATAAGCCCGGCAAATAAAGCGGAGAGATAATTGCAGATAGACAAATAATTGAGTCAAGTGAGCGGTAGTGACCGTAAGTAAGGTGCGTGAATCGTTGTGAATTATATTGTGTGTTAAGTTAAAGTGACTGTGGAAATTCTGTGTATTGCAAAGTTGTATTGAGAAAGAATAAACTAATTTTATTTAAGAAAGGACTTGTGTCGCTGAAGTTCCTCGGGAAGGATTTTTACAGGAAATTATCAAACAAGCAGATACGTAACAATAGTTTAAAATCTCAGAAGGCCCGTGTAGTAAACCGTTTTGTAGTATGGCGTATGAAATGCAGTTTAAAATCTCACAATGTCCGTGTAGTACACGAAGTTGTAGTATGACATGAAATACAAAATGGAGCGTCGAACAATAAGTTCCGCTGTCGCTTTTTAATACTGTTAATAAAGCAGATAACATTTGAAAATAAAAATAAAGAACAAATATGTTAAGATAAAGATAATTTTTAACCACAAAATCAAAAGCATTTCCTGTTCCTGGCTTTAGCAGCTCAGAACAATGCGAATAATTTAAAATTTCAGAATTAATCACAATTACATTAATGCTTAGCATTAAACTAACATATTTACTTACACATGATTTGCATTCCACCAGTAAGGATTTTCTTCGGGATCGTCTGACATAATCCCTCCAACTAAATAAAATAAACAACAATTCTTTATAGGTAGAAAACACTCACCCAAAATTGATTATTGTGATTTGTTTTCTCGGATAAAACAGAATAAAAATTTGAAACAATACAAAGCTAAGTTAGTTTAATTCAACAAGTACATCTTTCTCTCTTTTTTAACAGAACTTCAACGGATGTGTGAATGTTAAAATACAAAAATGTTTACTAGGCCTTTGCGTGCTGATTCTAAGTTGAGATTATATATAAGTGGACACAGTCCCAGACCTGTAGATTTATCATTTTTTGTTGCTTGATATACAGTGCTTCTTTTATATTATGATGGTTAGTGTTTAAAGAAATTTTATTTCAAGCGATGTTGATTAAAGCTAGACTTCAACACAAATAAACTTGGCAGTCGTATGAAAGATATTTGAAACTTCATTTTCATATTTCTGAACACAAGCCACATTATGGACTTCACTGGATATATTTAAAACAAGTAAGTCCAATAGAAACGGTCAACATTATTGATTAAAACAAGAATTCAAGAAGTATATTGGTTTACAGTTGTATCTCTTTGGTGTTGAAACAGTCACGTGATACATGCTTGACCACCATCTTGGACTTCATGCTAGAGTCTGTAGTACCCCGATATACCATGTGTGAGATAAACTCAGCAGTGCTATGTCGGATACTTTGTCACTGACAATATCTGAGGATGTTAAGCATCTTCAGGGAGAACATCGATAGTAATACCTGCTGAAGCTAGAGGGCTTGCAAAGCGACCCGTACGTTTTGTCAGATGGATTATTTTCAGACGTCGTGAGAGACGCAGCCAGAATTAACCCCTCACGACATCCTTTATTTCATTGCCTGGCGTGTATGAAATTTGGCCATATTTTGCCAGATCTAAGTATATATGAAAATATTACTCAAATATTATACTGAAATAACCATGGGATTTCTAATCCATGTTTAGCCGAGCCATAAGGCAAAGGCAAGGTGTCTGCTAAGTTTGTTTATTGTGTTTTGTGTGTCATTTCCGGGCGATAATGCAGGCCAATACAGTCATGTTATAAAAACTTTAACCTGTCTTTGCGGCTGAATGATCATTTACATTTTCATCCCATAGTATAATAGGATATATTTATCTGATATTTAATTACGTACTATTAAAAAATTACCGTTCATACATGCTATAAAATGTTCCTTACACAGACGGCTGTATTCTGATCGTTCCCAGTCTTTACATGCTATAAAATGTTCCTTACACAGACAGCTGTAGTCTGATGGTTCCCAGTATTTACCTGCTATAAAATGTTCCCTACACCACGGCTGTAGTCTGATGGTTCCCAGTCTTTACCTGCTATAAAATGTTCCCAACACAGACGACTGTATTCTGATCGTTCCCAGTCTTTACCTGCTATAAAATGTTACCTACAAAGACGGCTGTAGTCTGATGGTTCCCAGTATTTACCTGCTATAAAATGTCCCCTACACCACGGCTGTAGTCTGATGGTTCTCAGTCTTTTCCTGCTATATAATGTTCCCTACAAAGACGGCTGTAGTCTGATGGATCCCAGTCTTTACCTGCTATAAAATGTTCCCTACACAAACAGCTGTAGTCTGATGGTTCTCAGTCTTTACCTGCTATAAAATGTTCCCTACACAGACGGCTGTAGTCTGATGGTTCCCAGTCTTTACCTGCTATAAAATGTCCCCTACACCACGGCTGTAGTCTGATGATTCTCAGTCTTTACCTGCTATAAAATGTTCCCTACACAGACGCTGTAGTCTGATGGTTCCCAGTCTTTACCTGTTATAAAATGTTCCCTACACCACGGCTGTAGTCTGATGGTTCCCAGTCTTTACCTGCTATAAAATGTTCCCTACACAGACGGCTGTAGTCTGATGGTTCCCAGTCTTTACCTGCTATAAAATGTTCCCTACACAGACGGCTGTAGTCTGATGGGTCCCAGTCTTTACCTGCTATAAAATGTTC